TAATGCTGCTGGTGATGATGATGATGCTGCTGATGATGATGCTGATGATGATGATGATGATGCTGCTGCTGATTGTGGCCCACTCCGCCTGTGCGTCGCGGAACCATGCCAGGACACGTCCAGCCGAGCTTCGCGGCTGGAAAAGTAATTGAGCCCCGACCGTAAGCGAAACTCGTGGCCACGAGCCGCGCTGTGGAAGGGAACATCGGGGAGGAGGGCCAGTTGAGACAACGGCGACTCTCATGCCTGGCCCCAAGTCCGCTCCGAATCCATTCAGAACCGGTTTTCGGCGCGGATCTAGCCTCGGCGACGAGATGCATCCAGGAGGCCCGAGAGGATCGCCATTCGCCAGGGAAGGCCGCCGTTATCTCGACTGGCCCTCCTCCGAGAAGAGGCTGGCAACCAGAAGCGCGCCCGAAATGTCAGCGTTATCCGGAAGCACGCATGCCTGCCGCGCGCCGCGCGTGTCAGAGTGCCGAGCGGCGCCGTAGGGACTGCCTTCGAAGGACTGGCCGGCTCTCACTTCACACTCCCCACCCCCCGCGCCTCCCCGGCATGAAGTGAGGGAGGTAAGACGAAACCAACACCGGCACAACATCGGACCGGGACAAATCGGGGATCTCTGAGATTCGGCGGTCCTGGAGGATGCATCGGGCACCGCGGCCGTTCCAGAGCGCTCCGGAACGCAGACCACTCACGCTCTGAGAGCGTTCTGGAACCCTCTTTGACGATTCATGGTCCGAGCTTCTCGGGGATCTGCTGACCCGGGTCAATCCAGACCCGGGTCAGTCAGGCCTTGCAGAATCCTGCAAGATCCTGCAAGATCCTGCAACCCGGGACAATGCGAAGGATAAGATCGTGCAGGATCCTGCACCCAACCCCGGGTCAGTGCGACCCTGGCCCTGCAGGATGCTGCAAAATCTGGCGCTCAGGCCGACCCCCGTTCGCCTTGACCCCCGTCTCTTGAGCCCTGAGCCGCGCTCGAAGAGTTGGCGGCAGCGGGTCCTGGACCTCGAGCCCAACAACAAGGGCTCCGAACTTCGCGCTTCGCGCTGCGCGAAGCGCGAAGTGCGAATAACTTCGCGCTTTCGCGCCGCCTCCCAAGGGAGAAGAGGAGGATGAGGAATCGGAGCCGAACCGCGAGCGCGGAGCGCGCTTGGTCTCTTGAGCCCCGAGCCACGCCCGAAGAGTTGGCGGCAGCGGGTCCTGGACCTCGAGCCCAAGAAGCTTGGACCCCACGTGGGAGGCCTGGGCGCTGGGGCACCTCTCCCCCGCGCTGACCCCCGTCGCGGTGGCGGGCGTGCGCGGCAGCGCAGTGTCACGAAGAGGAAGGGCTCGGAGGTGCCAGGCGCCCCTGCTGCAGCCCACAACTGGAGAAGAGCTGCAGCACGCGCGCGCGGCGCCCCGCGTCGTCGATCCGCCTGTGCAGGAGCGGCTGGGAGGAGGCGGGATTGCTGGGCAAGCTCAGCGGGGGGAGGGAACCTGAGGTGAGGTTCGCTTGGGCGTGCACGATCTCGTCTGACACATGTGATGGCGGATCGGCCCCATCCCCTTGTCACAAGGCAGGCAAAACAGAAACATCTCCATTCCATTGTGATCTATGCTGCAATAGCGACGCGTGGTGAGATAGAGGGAGGACAAGGCAGGTTCTCATGTAGGTTATGGCGTTCTAGAGGTATTCAAAAGCGGCTGTAGGGAGGCTCCAGGGTCGCCGCCTCCTACTGCCCTGAAGGAGAGGGAAGGGGGAGACGAAGAGGGTATGACAAGGAGGGGTGACCTTGTGGGAATGGATGGGAAGTGGGGGATTGGAAGAGACTGACTGGGAGGGAAGCCAGGGACGCTGGAAGGAAGGATGATTGTCAAGAGGCGACGGTGGGGAAAGAACACGGATCGAGGTAGGGGCAAAAACAGACCGTGCTGGTGGAAAAATGAAGTGAAACGGGTGGAATCAACATGGGGAGAAAGAGGCACGCCCACGATGGGATCCCTTTCGCGAAACCGTGTCAAGACCAACCGAACGGGTGATTAACCCGTGATGTTGCTGCAATGTCTTGCGGGCAAAACAAATGACGGACAACAACGAGCTGACAATCCCACAAACAACAACAATCGGATGGCGTTGGTGCGCGAAATGAATCCCGTGCGAAATGGCGGGGATGCGGCGCACTGACGCGATCCGTGTGGCGTTGCCGCCCACGCACTAGCTGATTCGCATGCGATGCGCCATGGTGATCGCTGTGAGGGTGGGCCCTCAAATGGCTCCCGCCAAAACTGGCTCGCGCACTGCGCACCATGAAGATCCCCATGGTGGCCGTCTCCGACATGGCCCAGATGGTCCATAAAATTGCTCCTGTGCGACCTGCGTTGCTTACAACCTACCGATTCGTGTGGTCCCTGGGGCGACTCCTATGCGACTCGTCCAGCGAGAGGTTCGCCAATAGCGATCCGAAGCAAAGGCCCCCGTGCAAGCCGCCCAACACGCTGCACACCAAGGTGTCCCTCGTGATGTCTGTGGCGTCAAGATGCTTGGAGCGGCAACCCGCAAGGCGCCCGCCGTTCGGCCCGTGCTGGGGGCGGCACACCATGGCGGTTCCTGTGGAGGTGGTCCGTCGGGTGGCTGGCCCCCACGTGCGATCGGGTTCCTATGCGGCACGCCATGACTCAAGTGCGATAAGCAGCTGCGATAGAAAAAGCGTGCGACCGTGCGATTAAACAAACTCAAGTGCGATAACGACAACTCAAGCGCGATAAACAAACTGCAATACAAAAACAACGATAACAGCTGCGACAAAACATTCAATTTGTTGTATCGCAGTTGCTTACAACACTTGAGGGGCGCCCCCCGTCGGTGATGATCCCTGAAATGGCTCGTTTTCAAGCCAACTCTCGCGCGGCACACCATGGTCATCCCTGGTGTGACGGGTCTCGGAGGTGGCTCTCGTGGTTGGCGGTCGCTGAAGGGCATCCCGTGTGAATAGACCTGCGTGCGGCGCACCGTGGCGTTCCCAGTGTCTGTGGTCCGACATTGGCCCGATGCGTCGCACCATGGTGGTTGCTCTGGCGGTGGATCCTGGGGTGGCTCCCGTGCAAGTCAACTCGCACGGAGAAATCCCTCTCAGCTCAAGCGGCGGTCTCTGCGCAACCTCCCTTCCGAGCTGGCTCGTACGCGGCTTTCTGCGATCAATGCAAAGGCGGTCCCCGGAGTGGCTCCCACACGAGTTTCCTGGCACACGGAGCACCACAGATGGTCTTCGTGGCGATGGTCCCTGGCACGGCACCTATGCGAGCTGGCGGACATGCGGCGCAACATGATGGCTCCAGCAGCGGGGACCCCTGACGTGCATCGGCAGTTTGGGAAACTACGCTTGCTGAGTTAAGATGCAAAGGAATGCTGCTAAATAATTGCTGGTTCAACCTGTAGGCATTCCAATACAACACAGATATTATGTATGACGTGCTTGTTTTATATAATCCGCCCTCCTCCTACTACTCCTGCAGGCAGCGCTTGTCATATTCCAACTTCCACGATGATGTCCATGCGGCCGTTGCAGGAAGGGTTCGTGCGTCTGCGCTGGGGCCGCGTCGAAGCCGCGTTGACGCTCTGGCAGCAAGAGCCGCAAAACCAGCTGCTCGCCCCAGGCACCAGGACCAATACATCGACGCGCTCATCACCATCAAACACATTGACCTGGTGAAAGCGAAAGCGGATCTGCCGGAGGCGAGTTCGCCACCTGATCTGTTCATTTGCCTACTGGGAGCAGCTGCGTAGCTTGTCCGTCGTGGCATTGCAGAAGGCCGAGAACGAGCTGCTCACCATACGCGTCATGCAGCTCAACAACGTGGCCTTGGCCATGCAGGAGGTCAAGGCCGGAGCCACTGTCCGTGCGACAGAGTGCGCTGGGGAACCAGCCTCCCACAGCGACGCATCCCCCCTGCCCTGCCCCTTCCCTCCTGTCGTGGGCCTGCAGAGGGATATGGCCCCTCTCGGCAGCGCCAACAAGAGTCCTCCAGAGGGAGACACCCTTCAGATTTTAGATCAGTTCAGCGTGCAAGGCCCCACCGCTGCGAACGCGCGTCCTCGGTGCCGTCTTATCCTGTCCTACCCTTCCCTGCCCCCCCCAACTTCCCCCCCCTTCGTCCGAACCCGACCCTCCGCCCTCCCCATGCCCTGACCGCGCATGACCAAGTGGGGCGCCAGACGCTCTCTCCGAGGCGCCCCGCGTCGCGGCCGCCGCCGCCATCGTTGTCGAGGCCTGCGACGTCGCCGCCGTCGGAAAGTAAGGACGATTATGATGATGATGATGATGATGATGATGATGATGATGATGATGATGATGATGATGATGCTGATGCTGATGCTGATGCTGATGATGATGATGATGATGGTGATGACGATGATGCTAATGATGGTGATGGTGATGGTGATGGTGATGATGATGATGATGATGATGGTGATGATGATGATGATGATGAGATGAGGGGGATGAAATGGCGACGAGGACGAGGATGACGATGGGGATGATGAGGATGAGGATGAGGATGTCGATGAGGAGGACGATGATGATGATGATGATGATGATGACGATGACGACGACGATGATGCTGATGTCGATGCTGATGCTGCTGCTGATGATGATGATGATGTGGTGGTGGTGATCATGATGATGATGCTGATGTTGATGTTGATGCTGCTGCAGATGATGATTACGATGCTGCTGCTGACGATGAGTGGGAGGGGAAGGAGGAGCAGCTGAATTATGATGCTGATGATGAGGATGATGATGATGCTGCTGCTGATGAAGATGATGATGCTGTGATGATGCTGTGATGATGATGATGATGATGATGATGATGATGCTGATGATGATGATGATGATGATGATGATGATGATGATGATGATGGCGAGGAGGAGGACAAGACAAACCATCAGAGCGGATCGCCGCATCAGGCACGGATGGGGGGCCGCCGGCCTGGCCAGCCTAGTCGTCCCTGAACTCCATCAGCTCGGAGCAGCGGCAGTCCCGCTGGCGCAAGGGGAGAGAGGATCGAACAATCCAGAATCGAGGCCGAGGAAGAGAATCGATGTGTTGGGCAATTTCTCGACCACGAGGCTCCTCCGAGCCTTCATCTCCACAGGAGGAGTCGACGGCTCGCGGCCGCGCGGCGCCATCTCAAAATCAGAATGAAGGAAATTGGGCCCTGAGGTCCCGGGGCCCAGGGAGGCCGAAAACGACGAAGAGCCTAACGACTCCTCTCCCTGGGGCCCCCTTCCTGAACAGCGGGCCTGATAATCGTACCCCATCGACTTGTCTTTGGACCTGCTCTGATCAGACTACCAGGGCAAATCCAGCCGTGGCGACGAGGTCGCCCCCGAGATCCGACGTTGCAAAAAAAAGGCACCATCGCGAACAATCCGCCAACCCCTTGGGGTCGCGGCGTGTGACATGCTTCCCCCTCCCCAAACCCCTCCCCCGGGCGCCCGGTCTGACCGGTTTGGAAGGGGGGTGGGGAGGTGGGGGGCAAAGGTGCCGGCTGCACCTTTGGAGGCTCAGGGGGCCCCAAAACGGGCCAGGATGGCTCCAAAAGGCCCCCTGGACGGTCCAAGAGGGCTACGAGTCGCCGAAAAAGATCGCTCCAAGACGCCCAAGACCGCCTCCAGACGGTCCCAGAGGCCCCAAGACGCCCCAAGAAGCCACCAAGAGGCGTCCCAAGAGGCCCTCCAGAAGGCAAAATCATGCAATTCCTTAGGGGAAACGTATATTTTTAGCATATTCGCCTCTCTTGGGCTTTCACGAGGCCCACAACGGCCCAAGAAGCCTTCAAGATCGACCCAAGATAGCCCAAGAGGCCCGCAAGAGAGCTCCAAGACGGCCCAAGAGCCTTGGGGCCCCAGAAGCATCCAAACCGGCCCTGGAGGGCCCCAGGACGGTCCCAAGAGGAGACCCAGAGGGGGAACCCGAAAAGACATTTCGAGCCCTCAGCCCCGGGCGCCAATTCCCCAAGAGGCTCCCACCAGGCCCCCGAGAGGCCCAAGAGAGGCCCCTAAGAGACCTCAACACGGCTCCCAAGAGGCCTCCAAAGTGCTGCAAGGAGAGCCCAGAGAAGCCCAAGAGCAAAGCCGCGATCCGCCAACCGCCCCCGACGAAATCCCAAGAAACTGAAACCCCAAGATTCCCCAAAAATCGCGCGCGTTCCGCAAACTCCGTTTTTGTCACTCTACTTCCGCCCGAAAGGGTCGGCGGTACGACGTCAGCCAATGAATCACGACTGGAGCCCTAGACCCCGTGTTTCGGCTGCACTTTTCGAGCCAAGACGATCCGTGATGGCCCTGGGGCCCGAGACGTGGCGAGAACGCCTGGTGTGAATAAGTTGCCACGCCAGGATCTGAGGGCCCCAGTCCCGAGGCCGTCGCCGAGGTCGCCGCGGCGCTTTTCTGCTGCACCCCCCCACCTCCCCAACAGCCTGCCTGCGAGGACTGGACGAGGACTGGACGAGGACGGAGGAGGACGGGGAGGAGGATTCTGGATTCTGGATCTGGCGAACCACGAGACCGGCGCGTCCCACAGGAGGACGACGAGGAGGAGGACATCTGCCCAATGACCAAGTGTGAAAACAACATAGTGCCAGGATCAGAATAACTATCACTCTCCAGTCACCTGGCAGACGCACTCAACATGTCGGGTGCAACAGCACTCCACCCACCATGGGCCACATCAATCGTCGACAAGCCTCACGGGCACATCACGCCACCCACCATATCCAACCCTTGGGGAGACAAAGGCATCAATGTAATGCTACCCGACGCCACTGATCGCTCAGAAGACGAAGCCAGCGACAGCGACAACAGTGGCGACGACTACAAGTACACTCCAACGCCCCCTCAGTCCTACGTCCCTACCAACACGGCCTTCTCGACTATACCGCCTGTTCAACGCAGCCCACACTCTCATCCATGCTTCCCGATATAAGATTTATAAACCTACAATGCCATACTCCTACAGTTCATTGCCCACGGCCAGGCAGAGCCGGCCCAGCAGCGTGGCACTGATGGGGAGGGTTGGTGGTGTGCGAGAAGGAGATCGCAGCCACTGCAGTCGCATAAGTTTTGCGTTCACCTCCTCACTTTCAGCTCTGCCACTGCTTTCTGACCAGAGTGCCAATCGTACACTCTACTTCCCACCTCCTCCAAGCTTGTCTATGCAGCATCAGACCGCTAACACCCTTATGTCACCCTTTTCGTCAGATTTGCTGCACTGTCTACTGGGAAAAGGGAGGTTGCGGGTATGTGTGGGGGGGAACGGGGACGGGTAATAGTTCACAGCAGCCCGCAGTCGCACATCTTGCTTCTCATCCTCACTCTTGTCCAGTTCTGCTGCTGGTTGTTACAAAACAGGCATGGTCCTTGCAGCACGCAATACGATGATGCGCTCATCGCCACACTACAAGGAGTTACATAATGCGAGTTTCAAGCCCTTAGACACCACAGGCCAGCTAGTCTGCATGGCCAGCCGAAGCATTCAAAGGATACACAATTACATTTCAGGCCCCCCTACCTTAGGGCGTGGCCGCACAGCTTGGACCGCTAGCCTTTGTGTCTATATTTCGTCAGATGTGCTGTGCTGTCTATTGGGGGGGTTGATTGGGATTGGATAGGTGGACTGGTGGGTCGGGAATGTGATACGGCAGTCTCCAGCATTTAGATATTCTCCAAAGGCCAGCCATTACGCATGGCCAGCCTCAGCACTTTAGACAAACAGTGGCATTCAGAACCCCTTCGACAGGGTGTGCCACACCGCAGCTCTCACTTGCACTTTTACTGGTACTCATTTGCCTCCACTCGCTCATGCAGATGCCTCGCACCTCACTTCTCACCTGGCAGGTGCATTGTACCTAGGGGGATAAGAACCACACCTATGGCCACAATGACTGGAGACCCCCCCTAGGAACAGATTCGGCGAAAAGGCATCCCCTCGAGGAGCCGCAAACGTAACAGCTGTAACACAAATGTTGGTTGCCACACATCACTCTGCAACCACTCGCCTCTACACAGTATTCTGGCTCCTTTAATGTAGGATAATATTCACTCGCTACTTTACCTTCCTTGCGTCGCCTGTATTGCACGCTTATTTTACCTTAAGACTGCTCGCCTGGACCTAGCATGGGGAGGTTTACCTGTAGCCGAGGGAGGGGAGGGGTACAAAGGTAGCACCAGGCGTTGGAACACCTTCTTACCGCCTGGCGCATACTCTAAGGCCCTCTGATGTTCTGTTCTCTTTCCACTGCAAGATCCGCTGCGCCCGCCAATTCAATTTGTTTCTCGCTTGCTGAATCGGCGCTTTTCTCCCTCATCCACTAACGCAACAATCTAATTGTTCCGTCTGGCCAACGTCAAAAAGGAGGAGGACGAGGAGGAGGAGGAGGAAGAGGTGGAGGAGGAGGGAGGAGGAGGAGGAGGGAGAAGGAGAAAAAGGAGCAGGAGGAGAAGGAGAAAAAGGAGCAGGAGGAGGAGCACCAGGAAGCAGCAGCAGCAGCAGCAGTAGCAGCAGGAGCCCGCTCAACGCCAGGGGCGGATGGGCTCAAGGAGGGGGGAAACATTTAGCCGGGATCGGCGACACATCGCCGATAGATCGGCGACAGGCCCCCGATGCCCAGACAACCTCGAGTCGACTACACAGAGGAATGACCCCAGGCAAGAGTGACCTTTGGTGCGCGGTTTTCGGGGAGCCGCGGGGGGGGGGGGGGGGGGGGCAAACCCAAGCGCGCAAGACGCTGCTGTCGCATCGCATCTGGCGATCGGGGGGCCCCAGTGGGCCCGCAGCACAGGTCACTTCTTACGTGCAGTCGATCGAATCATGACAAAAATGATGACGGCAACTTTGTCGTTATTTTTGGCCTCCTTGCCAGGCCTCGGGATCGCTAACATAATGACTCACATGAAAAGCCACTCCCGTGGAATGGGTCGAGACCTCTGGGGGACGACGTTCTGAAAAAACATGACGTCGGGGGTCTGGGTGGGCAGCGTGGGGCCACCGGGCCACCATCGGCGACGAGTGGTCGATTGAGGTGCGACACATCCCGCACGAACCACTTGAAACGTTTTCCCTGACCTCAAACTCCCCGCTTTTCGAGGCATACTTCGGGCCTCCGGCATCCGTTTGGAACGATTCCGGCATATCCGGAACGCTCTCGACCAGGCGCAGTTGCTGAGAAACATCCTGAGACTGGAAAACCGCTTGGAACAGACGAGAACGCCCGCAAACCTCGAACCTCGAACCCGTCATCCCCTCTGAGCCTGACGTTGCCTTTGACCTTTCCCCCTCCACCCCCTGCCCGACCGGCGGCCCTTGACTCCACGCTACTCAGATCCCCAACGTCGTGATTTCTGTTCATGTCGTGGACCCCAAGAGGTTTGGACCCCTCCCTGGGACGGGTGTGTCATCCCGAGTCGCTTTTTGACGGTCCCGCGGCCTGGTGAGCGGCCCCAGCCCGACATGGCCACAGCTATGTCCAGGAAGGCTGAGACGGCCCCCGGAAGGCTCCGATGCGGCGCGAAAGGCTGGGGGCACCCTGGGCAAGGATCACCCCTGGCAACCTCCGACCGACCCGCCCCCTCCTGGGGGGGGCGTCCTTGTCTGGCCAGGTCGCTGTTCTCAAGGCCCTGGGGCCCAAGCACGGCCCCCACACGCCGAATTTCGGAAACCCCGCAAACAGACCCCGCAGGATTGAACACAGTGGGCCTTGCTTTACGGGGAGCGGTTATTCGTGCACCTTTGGGGCCCCGAGGGCCCCCTGTAGGGCCTTTCGTGAACCTTTCGTGCAAAAGAGGTGCGCCCGAAGGGGTGCAGAAAGGCGCATCTTTCCTGCACCTCTCGTGCAGGAAAGGTGCGACCAAAGGGGTGAACAGAGGCCCACCTCTCGTGCACCTTGGGGGGGGCCCTGCTGGGCCCCGCTCCTGCAACCCTCGATCCCCCCCGGTGTATCCCCCCCATTAGGAGGAGGAGGAGGAGGAGGAGGAGGAGGAGGAGGAGGAGGAGGAGGAGGAGGAGGACACAAGGACAAGGACAAGGCGCTCGGAGGTCGTGCTAGTGGCTGCATGCAACACTGTTAGACCTCTGCTGTGCAAATATGAATGCTAGACCCTCCCGAGATTCCTGAAGGGCAGCCTCGGGAGACCCCTCGCCCAACTTCTGATGGGGGAGGAGAGCCTCCTCGGCAGGGCGGACCTTGCCTGAGCAATTCCTGCGAACTGAACGACGCATGTGGCCGTGGTCTCGTCCAGACGGATGGCCACAGGTCGGGAGGAGGAGGAGGGGGAAGAGGAGGCCCCCATTACAAAACGCCCGAATGGCCGCCCCTGACGTCGGCGCGCGCACCGCGCGCGCGGGGGGCTCGCCGCATCCACGGCGTGTCCCGAGCAGAGCTTGCGCCGCTCAAGGCACGTCGACATCTGGATGCGGTCCTTGCCGCCGCGAGGGACAACGAGTCGTCGTCGTCGTCGTCGTTGTCGTCGTTGTCGTCGTCGTCGACGTCGCAGTCGCTGTCGCCGTCGAGCCGTCGTCGTCGAGCCGTCGTCGTCGAGCCGTCGTCGTCGAGCATTCGTCGTCGAGCCTCCGTCGTCGTCGTCGCCGTCGGCGAAGAGGCAGCGGTTGCAACAGAAGGTGGCACCAATGAGGCAAGGAGGCGGGCGATTAGAGCCTTGCAATAATACATCCTGCTCGTGGGACCGAGCTCCTATGGGAGCCCAACTGCGCCTTGGTGCGCGAGGGGGCTGCGAGGAGACATGCGAGCAGGGTGAAGGTAAGCGTGAGGGCGAAGACTGCTGAAGGTCGCTGATTACTCCGGATTTCATCGAAAAAGGGGGGCTGGTCTGCTTTGTGTGCGGGGGTATGATTTAAGCTGTCCTGGAGGGTTTCGGGACGTCTGGGCAGAAGGCCGCCCTTTCGTGGCTGGCCTTGGGGCTCTAAATGTGCTCGTCTGGGAGGGTTGTGACCCCCCTCCTCCATAATGAACCTCGGAGTAGCTGAACGTCGGAGGGCCATGGAAATGGGCCCGACAACTTCTCGATGGAAACAGGAGCAGCGCATCCGCGCGGGCGCTGGGGCGGCCCCCCAGCGGGGGAATGTCCCCCGGGGGACGGCCCCGTTGGGCACCACCCTGGATGTACCAAAACTGTGGCACCTGGCCGATCCGCTGGAGAAGTGACGGCCATGAGTCCGTCCCGTCCTCCGCCCAACATCACGGTGCACCCTTTATTAGGAGGGTGGCAACGAAGATCCCCCAAAAGAATGAACACAAAAATCGCACGCTGCGATTTACCAACAGGCATGCACATGCAACACTGCCCCCATCATCACAATCTCCGTCCTCCTGCCGTCTCCGCATAAGTCATCATCCTCCCCCTCCGCTCCTCCGCCTTCACTCCCCACACGATGTCCTCCTTCACGACATGGCCCTGCTCCAACTCCTCCTCCGCCTCATCCTCATCATCAACATCACCACCATCATCATAATCAACATCCTCCTACACCTATTCATCCTCCTCCTTCTCCTTATCATCCCCATCGTCGTGATCATCATCATATTTATCATCATCATCGTCACCATCATCATCATCATCATCATCATCATCATCATCACCAGCACCATCATCATCATCATCATCATCATCATCATAATCATCATCATCATCATCATCATCGGCATCATCATCATCGCCAGCATCATCATCATCATCAGCATCATACTCGTCATCCTCGTCAAACATCGTCATAGTCAGCACCATCATCAGCATCAGCATCAACATCAGCGTCAACACCATCATCCGCATCAGCATCATCATCAACACCATCATCATCAGCATAATTATCTGCATGATCACCTTAATAATGATCATGATCATGATCAGCATCAACAACACCATCAACACCATCGCCATCATCATACTCACCGGCATTGTCATCATCATCAACACCATCATCAGCAACACCAACAACAACAACATCATGATATTCATCATTATCATCAACATCATCAGAATCGTAATCATCATAACCGCGATCACGATCACCACCATCCTCACCATTGCCAGAGTCATCACAACCATCACCACCAGCATCAGGAAAAACATCACCATCATCAGATTCAGCATCATCAGCATCAACAGCCTCCTCCTCATCATCATAATCTCCATCATCACTAGCATCACCATCATCACCATCATCATCATCATCATCATCATCACCGCCACCGCCACCATCACACTCACCATCCTCACCATCATCACGAACCCAAGCCATCTCATTGATCATCGACATCACCATCAGCATAATCATCAATCCACCACCATCATCATCAACATCATCATCATCATCGTCACCATCATCATCAACATCATAACCGTCATCACCGACATCATCATCATCATCATCACCACCACCATCATCATCATCATCATCATCATCCTCATCATCATCATCCGCATCATCATCATCATCATCATCATCATCATCATCATCATCATCATCATCATCGCCAGCATCCTCATCATCAGCATCATACTCGTCATCCTCGTCACCATCATCACCATCGTCATAGACAGCACCATCATCAGCATCAGCATCAGCATCAGCGTCACCATCACCATCCTTATCAACATCGTCTTCATCATCGTCTTCGCCACCACCACAATCATCATCGTAACCGACAATATCATCATGAACTTCAGAAACATCACCATCAATCGCATTATCATCATCAGCATCATCATCAACAGCATTGCCATCGTCATGATCATCATAATCATGATCATCATCATCGTCATCAACATCGCCGTCAACATCAGCATCATCATCACCATTATCATCAGCATCAGCATCATCATATCATCATCATCAGCATCCACATCATTACCATCATCATCAGCATCACCATCATCATCTATCATCCTCTCCTCCTCATCTTTTTCCTCCTGTGTCATCCTCCTCCTCCTCGTTCGTCCTCCTCCCTCCGCATCCTCCCTCCTCCTCCTCCGCCTCCTCTTCCTCCTCCACACGTTCCTCCGCCTCCTCCCCTCGTTTCCTCCTAGTTGGTCCTCCTCCTCATTCTCCTCCCTTCTCTCTTATCCTCCTCCTCCTCCTCCTCCTCCTCCGTTTTGTCTTTTGACCAGCCTAGGGTTGCCCTGGGCTCTCCTCCTCCTCCTCGTTCTTCCTCCACCTCGTCCGTCGTCGTCCTCCGTCGTCCTCCGACGTCGCCGCCGCTGTCATCACACACCGCCAACAGAAAAGGCCACACGCTGGAAGCGTACAGCGTCGGTCCGTCGCCGTCCTCCTCCGCTCGTCCTCCAACCATGGTCCTTCTCCCGACCCCCCCCCCCCGTCCTCGCTCCCTCCCGCTCGTCCGTCTCCTCCTCATCATGCCCCTCCTGTTCCTCCCGTTTCTCCTCCTCCTCCTCCTCATCATCCTGCTGCTCAATTCCTCCTCCTGCTCCTCCTCGTGATCTTCCGTCCCCTCCTCCTCCTCCTCCTCCTCCTCCTCCTCCTCCTGCCTCTCCTCCTCGTTATCCTGGTCCTCCTCGTTGTTGGTGTCCTTCTCAGCTTCGTCCTCCTCCGCCCCGTCCTCCTCCGAACTTTCTCATTGCCCGCCGCCGTGCCGTAAGCATCCTCCCCCCACCCTTGTTGGATCATCCGCGGAACAGAAAGCTCGAAACGCCAACCTCCTCCATCCCCGATCGGGCGGCGAAAAGGGGGCATGAGTTCTCCGTCCTCCCCCAGATCCTCCAGCCTCTCCTCCTGCCCCATAATATGCCTTCTGCCGTTTGCCTCTCCCATCACCCCCGTCCTCATCCCCGCTCCTCCCCGTTCATCATCCCGCCCCCGCCCGCTGTCCCCTTCTATTCCGTTCTCGACCCCCTGCCTCTTCGTCCTCGTCCTCCTCCTGCTCCTCAGCCTCCTCGGTATCCTGCTCCTGCGCCTCCCTCCTCCTCCTCCTCCTCCTCCCTCCTCCTCCTCCTCCCCTTCGCCCTCCCCCTCCTCCTCCTCATCCTCCTCCTCCTCCTCCTCCTCCTCCTGTTCCCCCTGTTCCTCCTGTTCGTCCTCGTATTCCTCCTCATATCCTCCTCCTATTCCTCCTCCTCCTCCTCCTCCTCCTCCTCCTCCTCCTCCTCTTCCTCCCCCTGTTCCTCCTTGTGCCTGATGACATGGGGTCCCTGCGCTCCTCATCCGTCCCCTCCTCCTCCTCGTCCTCGTCTTCGTCCTCCTCCTTCTCCTCCTCCTCCTCGTCCTCGTCTTCGTCCTCGTCCGCGTCCTCCTCCTCCTCCTCCTCCCCCCATCATAATAGTAGTAAACATCATCAGCATCATCAGCATCAGCATCATCATCATCATCATCATCATCAGCATCATCATCATCATCATCATCATCATCATCATCAGCATCAGCATCATCATCATCATCATCATCATCATCATCATCATCATCATCATCATCATCATCATCATCACCATAATCATCATCATCATCATCAGCATCATCATCATCATCACCATCATCACAAGCATCACCATCATCAGCATCATCATCAGCATCATCATCATCATCATCAGCATCAGCATCAGCATCAGCATCAGCATCATCATCATCGCCACCACCATCTGCGTCATCATCATCATCATCATCATCATCATAATCGTAATCATCATCATCTTCATCATCATCATCACCATCATCATCATCATCATCATCATCACCAGCATCATCATCATCATCATCATTGTATGATTATTCCTCCTTCCCCCTTCTCCTCCCCCTTCTCCCCCCTCATCGGCGGTCACGCGCGGGGGAGGGGGGGGGCAGGCCCCTCCTCCATCTTTCGCCGTGTCACCCTGCGAGCGATCCTGCGGACCTCCCTGACCAACGTCGGCCTGGCGCCCGCCGTGCCAAAGCCCCCGCTCGCCCCCCTCCCCGTCCCCGCCCCCCCCGCACGACCCCCGACCCGCACCCCCCCCTCCTCCTGCCTGCCGCCCGCCCCTCCCCCCGCCCTCCTCCTGCCGCCCTTCCCGCCCACATGACCCCCAACGGTTCAACGGTGTGTATTTAAACGGATGAGTGATCCTACCACGGCAATTGCTGTACCAAGTGTTAATATTTCAGGCGCTGCGCCGTGTTATCATACCACGCATCCCGATTTCTCAGCCCCCATGACAAGCAGGATCCCAGGTGTGCCGTTGCCTCGCCGTCATGTTGTTGTGCCGACAGTTCGTGCAGCTGGCCCCATCACAAAGCATGCGTACCCGGTCACTGCTACGATGGACCATGGCACTGCACTCGTGGAGATTGCGGCCGCTGACCCCGCTCTCCCAGCTGGGCTTGCTGCTTGCCTACAAGCTCCTACACATGTGGATGCCGCTGTTGTGCCGCCGCCACCGGCCAACCCTGTTCAGTACACCACTTAGAGATACCCCAGTCGACGAGTCCTGACAGAACGGTTCACTGGCATCGCAGGCGAGCCCATACCGAGAGCCGCTAGACGAGTTGAGTACTTTGTCAGAACTCTGTTTTGTGGACGGAAGAGGGCGGGAGACGTACACGCACAGGATGACTGGGCGCATTGCAGCACCGACTATGCTATATATGTCCTGCCTGTGGATATAGCCATACATGCAGTGGACGGGGATCTCACGAATCGGGACACACTCGCAAAATGGAGGTCTCACATCCTTGCACGACGGGTGGTGGTGTCGGGTGGGGGGCCGCCGTGTGAGAGCTGGTCTGCTTCTCGATGGGCAGAAGGCCAAGGCCCCCCGCCACTGCGGACGCATGGTCAATTTTTGGTGGTAAGACGACAGGTACTGAGCGTCAGATGGAACAGCTGTGGGTGGGCAGTGCGCTATACCATGCTATGCTGGAGCTTTTCGCGGCACATATGCAGGCTGGGACGTCATGTTGGCCTGAGCACCCCCAGCCGTGTGGATGGAGGCTCCAAGCCGTCAGCTCGTTTACCTGCCACCCGATGCGTGCCCTCCAGTCGTCCCCAGCAGTCTCGACGTCCGACTTTGATCAGTGTGAACATGGTCAGACGTCAAGGGCCCCCACTCGCATCGTTGCACTTCGACTGCCAAGGCTGCGCGCCGCCCTGCTTGCGACCCCTGGAAACAGCAGATGTTCGCACGGTAGGGACGGACACGAAACGCTTCTTGGGTATGATCGGGACAGGAGGGGGTGGCGCACAACCAAAAAGAAGACGTACCCCGCCGGCCTGTGCAAATGTATCGCTGCTGCCACCGCTGATGCAGTGCGTACCGTGTGGGAAGGGGGAGCTGATAGTATTGAGCCCGCTATTCTGGATGGCGTGGGTGAGGATGGTAGAGTACGTGATGGACTACTACGCTTCCTTGTCTCCTGGGGTTCCTGTTCTGGCACAGACGAAGGATGGGTTCCCGACCTTGTCTCTCGGCGCACACGTCGTGTCCGACACGACCCCGCATTAGATCGCTGTCGACCTCTACGCGCCCCCCCCTGGCATCGGAGCAGGATACATATTCCACTTCACAGGTTCACGACGACATGGCGAAGGCTAGACCTACAGGCCCACCAGAGGCTGATGTGCACGTGCTTTTCTTGGTGACTCGCAGGGGCATCAGACCCTCCCCTCCCGCCCGTCCCTGTACCGCTAGCACCCGAAGTCTTGGAGCGCATCGCGCAAAACCGCGCGCAGGCACGTGTCAGAAGAGCTGCTAAACTCCAGGAAGCGAGACAAGCTCGCTTGCGTGAGGCAGCCCCGTGGGCCCATGATCCTCATGTTGGCAAAGGCTTGTTCGGATAAGTTGTTGTTTATCAATCATCGAGAGAAGTTGGGGGGTGCAGTTCAGTTATTGCGGGGAGTGGTGGGGTGGAGGTTCAGAACAGTCAAATGTTGCATCTTGCCATCCAGCCGCTCGCAAATGCGTTCTCAATGCTGTTCCCCCGTGCCGCCCCTGCTTTGTGATGTCGATGTGTTTTCTTCCACGTCGGCGGCATGGTGATATAGGGCCAATGTCCTTGTTCTTTCTATGTTGGTGACGCTCTCCTTGATTGAAATACGCCAAGCATTCCTTTTGGCCACACCGCTCTTCCGTGTGTTCAGTGCGCGCTGGCCGTGACTGAATTGTTGGTGCTTAGTGCAGACGCTGGCCAGAGGTCGAGCGAGCGAATATCGTGCACTCCCGAAGGCCCATCACCTGTACGAGCCCACGCTACTGGTTTCAGGCCCCTCGCTGGCCATCTCACTTGCTCCCCTGCTTGATATGCCTCCTCTTGCCTCTTCCCTTCTCCAGCAGCGTTGCATTGAGTCGTGTGCGCTGCATGACGTGATGGGTGGGGGTGGTATGGGTATGGTCGGGCGGAGCATTTACACCTTGGCGCCCGTGCTGCTAGATACCGCGTGTTTCTGTCAGCAGCTAGCGAGTGTCGCACTAAGCTGACCGTCTCCTCGGCGAATCAGAGCGCAATCCAAAAATCCCCCCGCCCGACCCCTCTTCCTGCCGCCCCCTGCCCCTCCTGCCGTGAGGTGATGGGGAGAGGGGAGGTCGGCGGCGAGCGAGGGAGGGAAGTGAGAAGGGGAAGGCCTTCTCAGAAGGCAGCGGGACTTCTCAGACACCCTCGAGCCTTCTGAGAAGTGTTCTGTGCCTTCGGGGAAAACTCAGAAAACTTCTCAGAAGGCCGGGGAGGGCTTCCGAGCCTCTTGAAAAGGCCTCCTCCTTCTCACTTCCCCACGGGCTCGCCACCGAGGAGGAAAGGGTGCACGGATCGAGGGGGAGGGGGGGGGTCGAGGCTGAGGATCGAGGAGGAGGCACCGAGAAGGAGGGAGGGATCATCTCAGAGAGCCAAAGAAGCAACTCCGAGGCCAAACCAGACATCAATCCGATACTTTGGCTGCGCGGCGCGGTGAAGATTCCGAGCAAATTCCATCCGTGAGATGGAACCCTGAGCGCGCCAGGATGTGGAGGCCCTGTGGGGTGCACGCCCCAATTCTTGATGGATGCTGATGTCGGACGGCAACTCCTGCTGCAGGCAAACTGCAGCGCACACCAACCACACTGATCAGTGAGAGGTATGTCGTATTCGACGCGCACGGTTGGGCCAACTGGACAGCGGCATAATGATAGCATGCATCGAACTGGATACTCTCATCCGAACCACCCCCAACGATGTATTATCATTGCTCGCGAGTGTGGGAGGAGAGCGAGAGGAGGAGGGGGGATAAGTGAAGGGGAAGGGGGGAGGAGATGATCAAGGAGGAGGGGTGCGCGAGGATCTAAACGCAGAGTGGCCTTAATCGGAGGTTGGGGGGTGAGATCGAAGTGGAACGGAGAGCCCCCCTACCGGGAAATCGATTTCGGTTTCGTGTTCGTGCGTGCCGTGCGTGCGGGCGAGGCGAAGCTGCGTGGGCGGGCGAGAGGAAAGTCTCCTGTGGCTGAGGCGCGGCCGGACCAAATGATTCTCCACCGGGGCGCGGGGCCGCGCGGTGTCCCGCCGGTGTCCCGGTGGTGTCCTCTGTGGCTGAGGCGCGGCCGCACCAAATGATTCTCCACCAGGGCGCGGGGCCGCGCGGTGTCCCGCCGGTGTCCCGGTGGTGTCCCGTCGGTGTCCCGTCGGTGTCCCGATGATGATGTTGATGATGATTGATGATGATGATGATGATGGTGATGATGATGATGGTGATGATGATGCTGATGATGGCTGATGATGATGATGATGTGATGATGTGATGATGATGATGTTGATGTTGATGATGATGATGATGATGATGATGATGATGATGATGATGATGATGATGATGATGATGATGATGATGATGATGATGATGATGACAATCACCACTGTTGCCGATTGCTCGGCCCCTCCACCCCCCCCAACCTCCTTATCACCCGCAGGGTGGTCGTATAGGTAATGATATGAGTCCGCCAAGGCTCCGAAGCGGCCCTCGCCTCCGCTCACAGGGGTGAACTTGACGTCAGCTCCAAAACCTCCCTGAGATGGGCCCACGACCGCCATAGTAATTACGGACCCCCAGCCAGGACCAAATGATTCCGAGGTGGCTCAGCCGAGAGACTTCGAAAGAACTCGCAGGAACCATGGCGCCCGAGGCAGCCAGGCCTTCACACCTCTCTGCCAGCCAGCCTTAAACCTGATGCGAATTTCGGCAGTCGTCCAAAGGCGACAGCCAGCAACCCTCACCTGCACGGTGTGAATCGCCACGCCGGCACAACGCAGTCGCATCGCAAGCGGGGTCAATGTTTGACAGGATCGGCCCGAAGGCCAGGCCGCCGGGAACTGAATGAGCAAGGTTGCCAATCTTTACGAGCACGGAGTTGAACCTTATATAACATCGAGGCACCTCGGCCAGAGCCTCTGGACGGCCCCACTCGAGCCGAACCAAATGGGAGGCGCTCGAGGCCATGCCACGGCAAGTGCCAGGTCGCTTCTGCCGCGGCCTTGGGAGCGCCCGCCACATGCTTCAGCTCGATCGATTTCCTGTCGCAAGCGTCAGTGAAAGAAGGATGTGGTACCTGAGGGACCTGCTGGCACTCAGCGACAATAGCCCCCCCCGGCCTAGATCTCAGAAGAGAGAAAGAGAGAAAGCGAGAGAGAGAAGACGCCGTGCACGTCAGAGGTGCATGGGCAAGATAACTGGCGCCGACGCGACGGCAGCCGAACGCCGTGAAACACTTCGAACGTCCCATCGTCGCCAACTCTGTGGACAGGGCGTGTCTGAAAACGTGTACATGCACTTCCCCCTCGCCTTGAGGCCCCCCAAAGTGGACGACCCGGGAGAGCAACCCCGAAAACCAGAGCCCCTCCTGAGCCCGAGGGGGCCCTCATTGCCGCGTCCTTTTCTGCACGCGCAACTACGGTTAGGTCGGGCATGTCCTCCTACAGGCGG